CAGGTACTGCATTGTTGTCTTTTCCCTCAGTCCAGTTTTTCTTTCAGTAGTGTCCGTCGATTGTCAACCTTGTATACTCGCTTCCTAGGATGAGGGGCTGCACCAAAGTTAATCTGAGAAATCTTGAGACGATCGGCCTTTTCAATTCTCTTCAAAATATCCACAAGTCGGTAAACGTTTGGATGTCGGGTCGACAGAGAAGTATTCAAACGACTGTTGAATCCCTCAATGCTGTTGTTAGTCCTTGCACCGAAGGTGGCGTGATGGTTCCACATCAGGATCGGGAAGAGGGAGTCGTCGTCAACCCAAGTCGTAACCATGTTGTCATTGAACTCATTGACACCGGGGACAGCAGGGCAGTCATTCATGGCATCAACCCAAAATATCCTGAACCTGACGCAAGGGACAAGGGTCAGGGCACACGCGCGTCGGATCCATTGCTCCATTACTCCTTTGCTTTCCTCCACGCGGTTTGACTGAAGTGGAAGAAGCACCCTTTGATGTCGCCAACAGTGGTGCAGTTTCCGCCACATGTCTTCACTTTACACCTCCAATGCGTGCATGTATGGCGGATCTTATTGCGGTTGAAGAGATAACCCTGGAAGTATACTCTCGGTGTCCCTTTACATGACATAACATATTCGACTTGTTGTAATCCTGCCATCTTAATGCAATGCAAGAGTTCAGAGCTGTTGGGATATAGGGGTCATATCTTTATCAATCAGTTTATTCATATATAACTGTAAGGCCACAGGCCCATAGTACAGAATACATGACAATGTGGAAGCGGTTAGGAATGTTACAAGGATTCATTTGTTAATAACATGGCATGATATATAAAGAGAGAGAGATTTTGTATAGCCGTTTTGCTCACATGTGAAATTAAAGAGATAAACTTGTATTTATTTGGATGTACATAGTATTTCTGTTCAATATATTTTTTCCTTAAATTATCATATTTACAACATACAAGTAGAAAATGAAATTCATCTTCGACAACATTTAAAGAACATTGTTTACATAATCTTAATCATTTGGGTGCCTGCCAACTTCAACCATTAACCTGTGTGAGCTGCATCTAAATTGTGTTAATGATATTCTGCATTTTCTTATATTTACATCAGTTAAATATTTTTCTGCGCATATTTGCATTTCAAAATATCTATAATATTCGCATTTGCTAGAAACATCTACAGTAGATCTCCATGTTTGAAAGTACATGTCAAAAAGCGTCTGCCTTATTTTCGATATGAACATAATGGTAAGAACTCAATATAAATTGGTAAATTATTGTTTGGTTAACTTAATTAGGAAGTCTCAAATGTAGGTGTGAAATTAAGAATAGTTAACAATCTTGTTTAAACTCAAACAATTCAGTAGTAGTAGTCCTTATCAGTCTAGCGATAATGGGACTAGCCCATTACATCACAGGTTAGCTCAGTTTGTTTGTTTAGTAAAGTGTCCAACAACTGGGTGTCTGACCGATGGGGCGGAACCTAACTGGAATACTGTTAAAATCGGCGTTAAACCAACTTATTCACTTATTATTATCAGTCTACTATCGAATCATAAGCTACCCATATTATTCATACGCTACCCTTATACCAGCAATGTATTTTTGTAAGGTTGAAATTAGATGATGCGCCAACTTTTTTCAAGTAATAAATAAGTACATTTGTCCTCATTAGAAACGTGAAATAAACTCGCTGTAGTAAAAACGGTATCTAGCAGGGACTCGTTTGGTAATCTACATACATTGCATGTTGCATACATAGCCAATAAAATTATCTTTACTGGTGTTTATAGACAGGACAGTTGCTATAGAAAGTGTGATACCCAACAATGTTTACATGCATGCTATATGCACGTTATAGTGTTTTCTCTTATACTTTGATACATTAATAGTTTTGTTAAACTGTTTAATTAAAAATGAGTGCACATATTTTCTAAGACGGTTCATATTGCAAAGTTCCATTGCTGTACTTACTAACATTACAGTATTTTTAGTGATTCCTAACAAAACAGCAACCCTGTGTGACGAAGGGATGTGTTCAAATGTCATCATTTGTTTCAATTTTCTAACCCGGAGCATGTATATAACATAGCATTGCTTACAGTATCAGTGACGGGTATTGATACATGTCAATGTGTGATGTGTCAACAACATTTTCTGCCATTCTCACACTCGATGGAACAGTTTGGAATATTTGGGAATATGTAAATTTAGATTTATCTCCACACAATTTAGACATTTTAATCTGGTGAACAATGTTTTGACAATTCTTGTTATATGTTCCAGGTAGCTGAGTGTAAGTATGAACCGGAATTATTGCAGAGGGTAGGCAAGGGAAATACAACTTTTTTTATTCGAGAGGTCAAGTGAAATGAAACGTCACGTTCAAGGTGTTTTTATTCATTTTGCATAAACCTGCGTGTCTGGCTGCTAATACTAGTCCGGAATCAATTCGTCTGTATATTGATAACCCCCTGACATACCACGCCGGTATGATACACCTTCAGATACATCATAGTGAACACCGAGCCGGTCCGTCCTCGTTTTATGGATAAAAAGGATAAAACAGTACTTCATATCCGTCAGTTTGTTATAAGCGTGTTCGTTATAAACGTAGTTTACTGTTGCATGACGCGACCAGGGAATCTGAGCACCGAGTTTCCACGATCTACGTAGGCGCTGTATCCACTACAACACGAATGTGGCCTTGAACCACTGACATCCACTGACACATGAGTTCGCGTTTTTCAAGGTGGTTTTATCAACGAGATGTATCGTTTTATCCAGCACACAAATTATTTGAAACGTAAAGCTAACTGGGACAATCTTGCTCATTGGTGATGCCATTTATCGTTACTTAAACTGTGTGGCAACAGTGTTACAAGGTAAATGAGAACGTATCTTGTACTTGGTGAAATAAAGAGAACAGCTTGTATATATGTATTAATGATATAAATCAGACACACGTATTATCCCTCTGTGTCCTATAAGTCATGGCAAATGCATACACATGCCCTCCATGGCATACTTGGAGTATGAATCACACACATACAATCCCCTGAGTGTTAGGTTTTGAATTAGTGTTAGATTCATAAAATAAGTGTGATATTCCCTCTGTGTTGCATTGGTCATAGGAATCAGACGAACACACTGCGCGCACTCTTCATCCATCTAAGCATACACCATTTGTGTTATGTTAGTAAAAGGTCAGACAGAATAACCAGTTTTTATGTATTGGAGAAAACACGCTCACGAGGTTTTGGTAGACAGAGCATACCCTGTGGAGAGGGAAAAACCAAGGGAGCGAAGCAGGGGATGTTTGGTAAACCAATACTAATTGGCATCGGAAATTTAAATTAAAAGTATATATTATATGTCCACTGAGGCAATGTCCACACTGTCTTGCATATGTGAATATACAGTTATGCCGGTTGTCATACTTATGGTCCATAGTATGGTCAAGCATGGTCTAGTAGCTCAAGAACCAAGTATCATCTGAACAACAATGACAAGCAAGAAGCTCAAATTTACGTCAATCAATGTTGATTGCATATTGTTCTTGTTGTTGGGTAAGGTGCCCTATGTGTCGTATTGTGTGGCCACAATATCCTGTTTGATCAACAAACTTCAATCAATGAGTTGACGCAAAAGTACAAGGCCGTGAAGAAGATGTGTGATTTTACGTATACACATGTTGCGTTAATTCATCAACAGCTATTGGAGGCTCTATCGTTTTATTTTAAACGTCATAATAGTGGAGACAGACTACTAAGTGAATTGCATGATAAGCATGGGTACCTCAACATGGCAGCGCCAGCCAACGGAGATAAGAGTGCGTGAGTGATTTAAAACTTTACATGTAAACAATATTGCAATCAGAAGAAGTTAATTACTTATTAAATACCTGTCGAAAAAGGAGGAAAAACAGTGAGGTAAGTATCGAAGGTTTACGTATATAACAAACACGATCAATATATTAAAACGAATGGTTTTCCATTGGATTATTTAGTTAAAAAAGCTAGGCTACAGACCATAATAAACCAAAGCTAGGCCACCACACTGGGGACTAAGGTATAAGGGGAAGGGTGAACCCTGAAAACATGTTTACACTGTAAACACCTGCAATAATAACACAGGGAAACAACATTGTCCATTTTTCAATGGAGCATGTGATGAACCAGACACGCCCCTCATAATAGCTTCCTCTCGTGAAGTGTTATCAACACATCAACATAATACATGCCCAGCATTTGAGTTTGCATGTATTTGTTATTGTACAAGGTAAACATACACCACACGGAAATGGTTAGAGATGAAAACATTTAAGTTCTATCAGCAGGTAAAGTTGATCGAACACTATACTTTAATACGGACACGTGTTAGCATATATGTACATGTATGTATATATACGAACATTATTACATATATGTGTGAATATGCACTTAAACTTAATTTTCCGAAAGCATAATTTCTTTCGTGTCTAAATTTTTAATAAAATCCGTTTTGAATGACCTGGAATTTACATGTACATGTATTAAACGGCAGTTACTTAATTTCCTGAAGACACTAAAGCCTATATAAAATGTGTCATCTGTAACAGAATGTAGCTGGACTAAATCCAAACTCCATGTTAACCTGCCCATTATGATTTGCAGACTCGTCCATTGTGGCATGATCTCACCCTTGGACTCCTCACAACCACGTCTGCTTATGGACTTCAGTCGAGGCGCTTCCTCATACAATTGCAAAATTATATAGGTTACATGTTTATGCCTAAGTCATGCTTTTCCTTTTCACTCTATACTTTACTCGAGATGAACAGCTTAAGGAAACGCCCCACTTCCTGATGTATTGCAGTGAATATATAGATTGGTGTACTTAAAAACGTTCAACAGATAGCGAAATCGTGACTTCCTAGATGTTTTTCATGGCTTCGTAACGGTAGAGGCTAATGTTTACTTTTTGGACCTTTTAAAAAAAAGGAACCGTGAGTTTGGATTCCGTTTATTGATGAAGCGCCAGTGATCGTATATAATTACAAAATGATTGCAAAGATGTATACTAATCAAAAAGCAATAAATCAAATAAGTGTTTAAGTTATCTACGTTAAGTAATCCAACTTGTGAGTGATATATTTTAGAATTTGAGTAAATAATTCCAGACTGACTACAGTCGTCACACGTTTTCTTATTGACATTGTTTATGCACATAAACATATACTCATATACAGAAAACAAAGCGTGACATTAAAGCAATAACAAACATGAAACTATCATAGTCAAACAATATTAATGACACTAAAGGCTTCTGGGGCATAGAGATAACAAGCGTGGCCTGAGGCTACGGATGCAATAACCCATTACACATACTACTACTCTGGGTTTACCTAGCTATAGGTTTCAACATGTGAAAGGTGGTATTTTTGATAAAATACGATTTGTGTCAGTACGACGTAGACTATTTTCCTGTCAGCATAGCATGTGAATTTGATATGCCTGATGAAAACATGTAAATGTTTTTACTTTTTTGAAGATTATTTTCATATATCATCAATATAATAATACATAATCGCAATGCATCAAGTGAATCGTCTATTACAAATATTTACAAGTTAACAGATCATATAACTTTGTCCTGTCCATGTATTTCAGTTCACCGTCCACAAACAAAGGTGGTGACGCCATAATGACAAGGTCTTCATGCATGCAAAGCCAAAACTATAATTATAAGATAAACGCCACCTATAACTGTTATTTAGCAAAATATAAATACATTTACGTTAGGTCTTAAGTATTAATATTATCAGTTCACATCAGGGGACATTGGGTTACAACATAGCTCTCATTGAACTTACACAATTCACATTGTAACTGTGTCTGTGTAGTGTCTGTGCGTCAATAGACATCAGGCTACAGAAATACGTAAATAATTAATTTATTTATTACAATTTTAAACCCACAAACATAGAAATAAATCTTAGAGCTAAAGGGCACCTTTTGCGAATATACCTTCAAGTACCAATATATCATTTTATTTAAACAGTAAGTTTGTCAATAGAAAGTCACTTAACCTTCCCGATCTCACTGTATTCACCATCCGTTCCCCGTGACGTGTTGTCAAGGGTTTCATAGGTCCCTGCTGCGATAGAGTCGGACACGTCACATGACGTCAGAACAGTGGCATCAGTTTTTGCATTTGTTTGGCCAGATTTAACGGTGCAGTAAGGCTCTCCTTTCATCTTGGCGTCATATGAGACGGCATTGAGACTGTCGTATGGCCTAGTTTCTGGGCCAACGTCATCACTGGCCTGCGGTGGTTCAGTTGGAACGAGTGATACAGTGGTTGGGCGCGATTCAGATGTCTTGTGTAGGCATCTGGAATGTGAACACATTCAAAGCTTGGTGTAAAGTACATGAAAGACATAGACGCATTATCCAATATGATGTTGTTATTAGATATGATCCTATTTTTTGGACCCCCAAAAACACAATGCATTTTGATTTTTTAAAATATATATCTTGGAACTTTATATTGTGACCCATTTACCTGTTCCTTCTCCTCCAGATAACAGCACTGACGATGGCATCTACTACAGCACCAGCCACGAATGCAAGAACCACTGCGACACCCAATTGGCTCAAGTTATACCCGGCGGCTTGTACACACCTCGCATCTTCTGAATACATAAAGGACAAGATCACGCAATGATTCAAAACAAATATGTTTATGCATTTTAAATGTAAATTTAGCAAACGATAGAGTATAAGCTGTGTCATCAAATACAAACGTGGTCCTGCTTTTGAAATAGTTTGTGACATTTCACAGCCTTGTATGGCATTTGTGGCATTTCAGGTTTTAGGGGTTTTATGAACCTCTCGCTTGCATCGATTTAAAACATAGATTAGTGTGTAAGTAATGCATGTGTACCAGTCGCGACAATTGAAACAGATATGACTGTTTTTGTTTTGTTCAGGATACAGCCATTGTGCTGATCGGTACTTCCCTATGGAGCTCCGTTATTTCAATTTATTATGGTCTGACATGGACATGCATATGTTACTACAGATAGAGATGTTTCATTAACTGTCTTATCTTTTGCATTGAATCAATCTATGAAGGCAATGTGATTGTGTGTGTGTGTGTGTGTGTGTGTGTGTGTGTGTGTGTGTGTGTGTGTGTGTGTGTGTGTGTGTGTGTGTGTGTGTGTGTGTGTGTGTGTTTGGGTGTGTTTGGGTGTGAGTGCGTGCTATCCCACTCAGATACAATGTCGCTGTCTTTTGGTTTGACTTGGCCAGGAGATCGATACTAAAGACCTTGGAGGGTGTCCAATAGGATTACAGATGGGAATGATGATTGAAACATCAACAACTATAAGGAGAAACAGCACCATCAGTTATAGCCGATGTCAGGAACTCAAGCGTCAGGCGTCAGTGTCTAACACACGCCTAGTATTGTTTCTGATATGACTGGGTTTTAACATGCTTTGAATAACACACTTGTTGCAGATTAGGATTCTTTTCTTTGTCCAAATAGAAATTCAACTTTGTATTGAGATAAAAGTATATAGAAAAGGCTGATTACATTTTATAATTTTCCCGAGGGTTATGCTTGTCTTCTTAGGACTAACTAAACTGACATCAAAAAGAAACTTTACCAACTGAAAATATGATTTTCAGACAAAGCATAATATTTTTTTTCGATGAAGTCTATCTAAAACAAATAACCTAAATAAAACAATAGCGTATGCAGAAAATGTTAATCGTCTGTTACATGTTTGCAACATAACACGCGAAAAAGTGAAAAACACCACGGACAACTGCAAATGCACGTGCGAGTAAGGGTATAAAACGATTGCACCGGCAAGTCAGACATCCACAGTGATAACAAAACACAAAAGAAATGCCACGACTCAAAGTCAAACAATGTGAACGAGCCTTGGGTATTGCGTACCTTGCACCTCCGAAATCGCTTCCTGGCAGTGACGTCATCGGCGACAAATGGCTTAGATTACAGGGTTAGTCGACAGACAGTGGCCAGGAGACTCAGGGCTCATTGAATCAGGGCTTTTAGACCATACAGAGGAAAGCTATTGATAGCGCAACATCGTCGTCTGCGATTGAGATGGGCCCGGACTTTAGACGTTGGCAACGACGTGACTGTCAGAGGGTTGTCTTCACTGACAAAAGTCGATTCTGTATGTTTAGGGCTGATGGAAGACAATGTGTTTACCGCCGTAGGGGTGAACGAACGGCGGCGTGTTGCGTGCAGGAGGTCGTACCATATGGTGGAGGGAGTGTCATGGTGTAGGGAGGGATCTGTGGGCAGGAGAGGACACCGCTGGTCATCGTTGACGGAAACTAGACAGCTCAGCGTTACATGGATAACATTCTTCGTCCAGTTGTCCTACCTACCGTGCATTTGCAGTTGTAATATTTCGACACGAAGTATGAACAAGTATGGGCATAAGAGGTCACCCTGACGACAACCTCTGGAAACACTAAAGAATTCAGGGCCGAAGCCATTTCCCATTCGACAATATCAGATGCCTTTTCGAAGTCGATAAGGAACATCAATCCTGGTGTCTCTCTGTATGTTCCATCAAGTCATAGACAAGTCCAGTTATATAACATTTTTTTTATCTTCATTAGCAATGATGTCAAGTACTGATTTCATTTTTTGGATATAGTTGATTATCCTAAATTATAGAAGATTGAACGTTGTGATATCGGCCTCCAATTTGTAAGAAACTGTTTTGGTTTATTCCCCTTTAGAATGCAAGTTATAAGTCCTTGTTTCCGAGACGTGAGACTGATAGTGAACCCTGTCTAAAGGCTGCATTCAACTTTCCGAGGTCTAACCAAAAAAACTTAATACATTCTGCTGTAAATCCACCGGGGCCAGGACTTTTCACATTTTTACAGCAAGTAGTACTTCGTCATAACTGAGTTCCCCTTCTCATTTATTATCTGTATTATCAGAAAGTTTAGGGATATGAAGTTATACTCAACAACAAAAGTTCCTGTGACACTAATATTTTAGTGTATTTTTCAAACAAGTAAAGTTTGTTTTTCAATATTGCAGTTCATGTACGGAATCACAAAAGCGCAACTGCTACAGAAAAGCGTGCATTCCATGAAAAGTTGACTTTTATGCAAGCCCCATGCATTTCACTACCCAAGAATGGGTATAAAAACATGTGCGTTAACGGGATTCCATATGCATTGTTTAGCATCGTGCTGACAACAACCACTCAGAAAAACAACAAAATTACGCAATTATTCAACATTACGAAATGCCACGCCAGTCCAAAAATTAGCGTCTAGGAGCCATTGGTGTGCTTGAAGCAGGATCGAGTCAACGTGATGTTGCAAGACAAGTTAACGTCCACAGAAACACCATTTGGTGTTTATGGCAACGTTGGCAACAGGCGAATGCAGTCAGAGACCATCCTCGGAGTGACAGGCCACGCGTAACCTATAATCGACAAGACAACTGGATTCGAACAACACACATACGAAATCGATTCCAGCCAGCAGCAGTGACTGCAAGAAGCATCCCTGGCCTTCGACGAATATCTTCACAAACCGTACATTGCCGCCTCAGATGTGCAGGGATTGTCGCTTGAAGACCCGCCAGACGTCCCATTTTGACAGGAAACCACCGTCAAGCACGTCTACAGTGGTGCAGACAGCGTCTACGCTGGACGGCCATGCAGTGGGGACAAGTTCTATTCACTGACGAGTCTCGTTTTCACCTCAGCCACAGTGATGGACGGATTCGAGTGTACCGATCAATCAATGTGTCATGGAAGAAGATCGGTTTGGGGGCGGCAGCGTTAGGGAATGGGTGGGATAACAGCAAGACAGAGGACTTGTTTGATAGTGAGGGAAATGTCAATGGACAGCGCTACCGCCACGAGATCATCGACCCTGTTGATTTACAGTTTTTGCGTCGTGATGGCCCAGGCATTACCTTTCAACATGACAACGCCCGGCCTCATATTGCTCGACTTGTTCAGGACTCTCTTCAACAAAACAACGTGAACGTCATCCCCTGGCCGACTCGCTCCCCTGATCTCTCACCAATCGAGCACATGTTGGATGAGATGGATCGGCGCTTTCGACGTCAACCACGTGTTCCACAGACACTCCAGGAACTTCGAAACATGCTCCAGCAGATATGGACAGATATCCCACAGGACTTTGTGCGACGCCTGGTCCATTCCATGAGACGAAGATGTGTTGCTTGCATCGCAACCAGAGGTGGACACACACGCTATTGATTTGTAAATTGACATTTTGGCATGATCATGTTTATTTAGGAAAGTCAGTATGGCAAATTAAACAATTTGAACACTAACAGTAGTCTTTACATTAAATCTTATTCAGTGTCACAGGAACATTTGTTTGAGTTTTCTGTAGAATGATCTCACTTCGTTCCTAATCTCGTGTTGCTTTTCGTTATTATATTGCCACGAACAGTTTCAACGTGCATGTATGTTTTAATTGTTTGTAAAATTCCTTGTTTCCAGGTTCAAGAAATATTTAGATGGTTTTCCCATTTCCACCCATAAAGCTTTTGATCTCATTAACATTCCATTTGTTTTAGCCCGATTTATTTCTTTAAGTTCTCCATCAATCAGTTCAATTTCATGTAATAAGTCCATTCTTACGTCTTCATTAATTTCATTATCAAGTGACATTGTTAGCTGTTGTAATGTTTGTCAAGTGTTTCATTTTTTTCACGTCCCTATTTCAAGGCAGACGAGTATGAAATTGTCCTACCGCGAATCATTTATCTTCACCAGTGTGTACATTATGGCATTGTTCATTTGTTTCCATTATGACGCATCATTGACAAAAATTGTGTCCGATGCAATTTCCTATTATGTTTTCAGGTGAACAATTGACTTGCAAATGCATGTGTTTGTGACGGATGCCACCGTGGGGCAGGATACGCTCACCTTTTCGCGAACACCTGGTATCATTACTATTTGATAGTGATTCATAAACACATGTTCATGATATATTCGGAATCGTAAATCGACTCTTTATACAGATATTTCTATTGGATATGGAAAGGGTTTTGTCGCTTTAATTATATGAATATGGATAGGGTTGTGTCACTTTTATTTCTGTTCATGTCTGTTCTGGTGGGTTTATATCACAATAATTTATAACGACATGTCACACGAAACATGATACCACCATAATATTATTAACTGTATTTTATCCCCTGCTTTTTGTTTCCTTCGGATTCTCATGCATTTTCTAACCGACAAACGTTATATTTGAACGATTTGGCATTAGTCGGTGTTCTATAATTTCTACTGCTCACATTTACTGTCAATTCATACATCAAAATCTCGAAGGTAATCTTCATTGATTTATAGAATGTCCGTGACATTTCATTAGTTAATGTATTGGTGAGTAATAAATAAAATACCACACTCGTGAACTTTCTATTGCCTCTGACCTTGCTTTCGCTCGGTCAGATACCATAAAATGGTATCTAACGAGAATGAGTGTAGTATTCGCTATTATCTGTTGATTGGATTCTTCATTATTCGGGAGCGATTCATAAGGGGTGATCGTCTTATAACGCCAGCAGTTCGTTACATATCTCCTTTCAAATCTAATCTTGTGACAGGAAAACTCACCTTTCTGACAGGTTTGCCCATTCCCACCAAACCAGCCTCGATCACATGCACCGCTGCAGACTCCGGTTGTCGGGTTACAGTGCGGAGTACAGTGACAGGAGTAGCTGCAGGTTTCTCCGAACTTTCCTATCGGGCAGCTGGTACCTGAACATAGGTAGAACAAAGGTTGGAATCAGGTTAATGTTCTTGCAATGCCCCACAAGCCCCATTACCCATAAACACATGTTCTAATGTAAGCATGGATCAGTTACATACTCCCTACAGCCAGATAACTTTGATAAAATAGATAAAGAGTCATTGTGAAGTAATTTAGGAGCAAATAAGCTTAAGACAGATTAAGACAAAATCCAGTATGGGCATAACTAAGACAAAAATGTTATGGATGAGCAACTTCTTTATTACAATTGGGCAACGTTTCGGTGTAGATTCTAACACCTTTATCAAGCAAATGAATGACACTCAAAGCAGTATGGGCATACTTAGTAAAAATACAATTGTTGTAGTTGTGTGTGTGTGACAGAGAGAGAGAGAGAGAGAGAGAGAGAGAGAGAGAGAGAGAGAGAGAGAGAGAGAGAGAAGAGAGAGAACATAGCTTTATTGTTTTATTCCTCGGATGTTTATGAGAGACACTGTCCAGCTTTACTGTAAACAACGTTGTTTTTGTAACTGATATACCTGTATAATGCATATGTTCCAAGGAGCATTTTACATAGTATCACGTTCACTGCCCACAAGAAAGAAACCTGTGGTTATTACCTACCCAGTATGAGTTGTTTCCACCACCCTGACACACCCGCAGTAAGTATCAGCCACCTCACACCCGCCATGTTTGTGAACCAGGAAGTTTTAACACTCAAATGATGGGTGGACTAGGCTGAAAGGGGAGCTGTTTGATTTTCAATTGACTTTGTCCTTACTATACAACTCGCTACCTGTGTTCTCCCGAGCCTCGTTTTATTCCGTTCTTTAAACAAACATGATGTACTGGGAACCTGTTTGGACCCGGGGTCGCAATGGAGTAAGAATGATAATTCTTTGAATGAATGTGTTTACATAGTATCACGTTCACTGCCCACAAGAAAGAAAACTGTGGTTATTACCTACCCAGGATGAGTTGTATCCACCACCCTGACACAGCCGCAGTAAGTATCAGCCACCTCACACCCGCCATGTTTGTGAACCAGGAAGTTTTAACAGTAAAATGATCTGTTGAAAAGACTGAAAGCGCTTTTGGTATGAATTTCACTTAAAATGCGTACATGCATATATGGCAGCTATTCAAAGCTACATCATTCAATACAAATTGAACGGGCATCAGAAACCTTTACGATTATTGTTATCATTTTTCATATCGTTTATATATGGCTAACAATACCCTACACACTCATGTCGATATGGGCGTATGGGCGTATGGTCTATGGAGATAGGTTTGTCTTGTAATTATGGATATTGTATCTGTTTGCGAGCATCATGAATGTTTAGTCGTCCAGACTGCGATAGTGATTACGTCAATGTCAAATGCACACCCAGGTCAGATATTGCCTTTGGATAACTGAGAGAGTTGCACCGATAACGTAATTCACATCAGAAAGAGTTGAAAATGATCAAGTTTGTGATTGGGTGTGTGGTTATCACATGCCACTGTCACAGTCTGAAGGTACACAGGAAGAAATGGTGAGAAAACACAAAAAATAAGCATGTGGCTTTAGACTGTCACAAATATTCAAGCTATATATCACGGTGATCTGAAAATAATAAAGTCTAGACCAGATCAATCAGTTGTTGATAGCACGAGCAACACACTTCATAACCACCCGATTCTCGTTTTATCCCGTTCTTAAAACAAAGATGATGTACTGGGAATCATTTTGGGACCGGGGTCGCAATGGAGTAAGAATGATAATTCTTTAAATGAATGTGCATAAATGTTCAAAGTATAATTTCTGAAAATGATGTTTCACCTCCATATGTGTTAGATTGAGTTCAGACAACATCTTGTATTCATCGTTATATGTTAAAGCAGTTAAACATAGGTAAATGAAACCCATTACCTTTGTTATAGACGACGTAGCGCTACTTTCTGGCCGAAACAAAACGAATCCTTGTGAAAATATATTTAAAATGTGATAGGATCTTCAACGTTTATAACTTTTTTCCTCTTCTTGAAATGTCTCAAGCTCAGTAATCCTGACGTCTAACACATAGAATTCGCGACCTGAGTGTCTTGGCTCTTGTTGAGTTTATGCCATGTGGGGATGCTATTCATACATTGTCCCCACGACTAACATGCATGTGATTAGCTGGATGTTAATACATTTCATGTGTGGGTCTCCTCAACGATTGAGAAACAACAATACGAATTCTAGATTTGTCTGCGTTGACTTTAAGTCTGCACAGGATTGGGATACCTGCATATCCGTACCATCTAACATACATGTGGTGTCATCTACAAACTTTGCCAAGGGATTTTCAAGATTATCAATATTTAATTATCAATATGTTTATTATTTCTTATCACATTTGCTAATATTTCGACACGAAGTATGAACAAGTATGGGCATAAGAGGTCATCCTGACGACAACCTCTGGAAACACCTCTGGCCCAGGCATTACCTTTCAACATGACAACGCCCGGCCTCATATTGCTCGACTTGTTCAGGATTCTCTTCAACAAAACAACGTGAATGTTTTCCCCAGGCCGACTCGCTCCCCTGATCTCTCACCAATCGAGCACATGTGGGATGAGATGGATCGGCGCTTTCGACGTCAACCACGTGTTCCACAGACACTCCAGGAACTTCGAAACATGCTCCAGCAGATATGGACAGATATTCCACAGGACTTTGTGCGACGCCTGGTCCATTCCATGAGACGAAGATGTGTTGCTTGCATCGCAACCAGAGGTGGACACACACGCTATTGATTTGTAAATTGGCATTTTGGCATGATCATGTTTTTTATGAAATCACGCATTTTCTGAAGTCAGTATGGCAAATTAAACCATTTGAACACTTACAGGGAGTCTTTTATCTGTTGCAAACCGAAATTGTTTCAGATTTGGTAAAAAACATAACTTTACATTAAATCATATTCAATGTCACAGGAACTTTTGTTGTTCAGTATTGATTGTTTAGATTGTTTGAAAGAGTTTTCTGTAGAATGATCTCACTTCATTCCTAATCTCGTGTTGCTACGTTATTATATTGCCACGAACAGTTTCAATGTGCATGTATGCTTTAATTGTTTGTAAAATTCCTTGCTTCCAGGTTCAAGAAATATTTAGATGGTTTTCCCATTTCCACCTATAAAGCTTTTGATCTCATTAACATTCCGTTTGTTTTAGCCCGATTTATTTCTTTAAGTTCTCCATCAATCAGTTCAATTTCATGTACTAAGTCCATTTTACGTCTTCATTAATTTAATTATCAAGTGACATAGTTAGCTGTTGTAATGTTTGTCAAGTCTTTTCATTTCATGTGTTTGTGACGGGTGCCACCGGTGGGTCAGGATACGCTCACCTTTTCGCGAACACCTGGTATCATTACTATTTGATAGTGATTCATAAACACATGCTCATGATATATTCGGAATCGTAAATCGACTCTTTATACAGATATTTTCTATTGGATATGGAAAGGGTTTTGTCGCTTTAATTATATGAATATGGAAAGGGTTGTGTCACTCTTATTTCTGTTCATGTCTGTCGTGGTGCGTTTATATCACAATAATTTATAACGACATGTCACACGAAACATGATACCACCATAATATTAACTGTATTTTATCCCCTGCTTTTTGTTTCCTTCGGATTCTCATGCATTTTCTAACGGACAACGTTATATTTGGAACGGTTAGCCATTAGTCTGTGTTCTATAATTTCTACTGCTCACATTTACTGTCAATTCATACATCGAAATCTCGAAGGTAATCTTCATTGATTTATAGAATGTCCGTGACATTTCATTAGTTAATGTATTGGTGGGATTGATTATCTGTCTGGGACAACTCAAACTATTTAGTTCAAGGATACCACGTCAAACAGATCGAATTTAATGCTCGAGAAATCTTGTTCACCCTACACTGTAATTCTAACAACAACAATTATGATCAGATTGTTGAGTTGAAATAATGATAAGTAACTCTGTAATGCGTGTCTGACACAAACGAGAATATTTAAAATCGCTGGAAAATAACGTTACAAGATTAAATCACTCACTTTGTAGAGAGTGGAAAGAGACAAACACATGACCCTGCATATGGCAGAGCTGTCTCAAGACGGTATCGATCTGTCGGCGTCTTTGAACCCGGTGATATTAGCGGGTAGCGGGTGATCGCCACAGGTTGTGAAGGTGTGGTGGTTGTGGCACACACAAGGTGCGCGGTGATGACAGGAGGAGGAAATTTTCGCATGTGGACGTGCTTGGTGTACCTGACTGGAATACTTCCGGCGATTCAAGGTAAACATTTGAAAACCCCTCATGTTTTAAACCGTATACAATTTAATGTTGTATTCATTGTTAATTATTATTCATTGTTATATTCATTATATTATGGTCTTTCTTTTAAACTTATGATTAGAATGTTCGCTTGGGAATGTGTAACAATTATATTCTGTGACGACCGTGCAATGAATATAATCATATTTTCCTCTCTGAAACCATCATTAGGTGTGGACCCTTGTTTGAGACTCACAGGGAGTTCTTAATTGTCAGTGATTTGGTATGGAGAATAAATATACCCTTTTGGATAATGTCATTGATAGTTTTGTGCCCAACTGTAGATGAACCCCATGAATTCCTATTTAACTACATACTACACAATTGTGAGGGGTGACTGAAATGTCCTACGAAGGATGTATTGTACACGTGTATTAGTTTGCATGTATCGAGTACAGTAACCAAGTAGACAACCAGGCAGCATATGTCTGCAGGCATCAAAGTGACCAGGTATTCTCTGTTGAACATCATGGACGAATTAGCAACCGCGCATTCATGAAGTATCTCCAACTTAAAGGACCAACTGCAATAACAAATCCATGCGGACATGGTGTTAACTCCTTCCTTTGTCACTGTTAGGAGGTGAGCAGCGGAGTTCAGAATAGTAAAGGTGGGGCTTGAATATGATCTAAGACCAGGAAGACCTTCAACTACCACCCAAGAGGAAAATGATGATATAATATATGAAATGAGTATGGTCTCACAACTCATCACCTGTCTCAATACAGCAGGCATCTCTCACGAGACAGTTGAGGCAGTAAAGTCAGCACTAATCTCTCATGAGAGAGTTGAGGCCGTTGATACAGCATGCATCTGTCAGTTACTATGGGAGTTGAGGCCGTTCCGGGGAATGAAATGGGAAAGACAAAAAATGCCTGGGATTCCATAAGAATCCTGCTGGTGGAATACACCCCAAAACGTAAGACCAAGCTAAACATCGTAGAAAACCCTTTAAGTGGGTGTTGTTTCCCCAGGACAATGTACCTGAGCACAAATCTGTTGTCTCCGACGCTATAATGCATGACTTTGGATTTGCACATCCTCCGTATTCACCGGATTTGGCACTGACAGTCCAAACCTGAACAAAAGACCTTTTACATCACCAGGAGGGAGCCTTGAAAACCAGTGGAATCCAGGCACTCCAGGGGAGAGTATGTTGAAAATTATCAGCAACTAACTCCATTTGCCGAGTCCATCATCTGAACGTTTCAACCACCCCTTGCAAATGGTTCATTATATGTATGTGTATGTTCTGTAAGACCGACACAAGAAATGATTATAGTTTTAATTTAGCTACCCCTCCTTGGCGTGTGTGTAACTTGGCATCTTAACTTAACATAGTCCATTGTTCTGTGCATATACAGGAGTGTCCTATCTCTACCTGAGCGAGGCCAG